TAAGCCATCTGAAAAGAAATGTCAGTCTTGGAATTTCAGGCAAACAGCTTAAACAACCAGTTGGACATTTCAGAGTAAAATACTGTTCTTATTCATGTGGTTTAGGGGAAGTGAGGCGATATGGAGTAAAATTAATTTGTCACCATGAGTTGCATATTATTTTGCCATGATACTCTGAGAAAAAAATTCTCAGTGATTCATATTGTTCTAGAAACAGATGCACTGATGTCGCTCACTTGTGAGTTTGAGGATCTGAACAATATGAATTAAGTGACCTTCATTGAATGGCCCCTCTCCATGTCCATCTTCTTCACATACATTCTGAGTGAATGAGTCAGATAGTGAAGAAATGAAGTGACTACCCTACAACGGGCACACTGTCTTTGCGACCTGCAGTTAGGGTCTTTCTCTAGTTGTGGTGAGTGGGGGCTACTCTTCATTGCGGTGCATGGACTTCTCATTGCAGTGGCTTCTCTTGTTGAGAAGCATGGGCTCTGGGTGTGTGGGCTTCAGTACTTGTGGTGCATGGGCTCAGTAGTTGTGGCATGTGGGCTCTAGAGTGCAGGCTCAGTAGCTGTGGCTCACGGGCTTAGTTGTTCTGCAGCATGTGGGATCTTCCTGGACCAGGGCTCAAACCCGTGTCCCCTGCATTGGCAGGCAGATTCTTAACCACTACGCCACCAGGGAAGCCCCTGGGTCTTCCCTCCTGATAAGTCTTTCGGTTTGCACCTGTGGCTCACACAGAGGCTCAAAAGAGGTTGGCCAGAGGAAAACCTGATGGAGATAATTGCACTAGTGGGAAACTTAATGGAGATAATTGTTAGGTGTCAGTGTGCCTGCATAGACAAAAGGAGGTTATACAAAGATCCCCCAGTTAATTCAGCTGCCCCTCCATACCACAGGAACATGGGACACTCCTGCACTTTGGACAAACCTCGCTCAATGGCCTGACATCTTCCAAGGGAGCGTGTTGCTAGAAATCCATCTCTGAGTCTGGTTGCTACAACAAGAGAATATCCAGTAAAGTACTGTGAGATCATACCAAGAAGACAGACACTCTCCTGAAAGTTGGCACATGGGATGATGGACATGTCCGATGTCAGTGTTAGTGTCTTAGTCAGCTTAGGCTGCTATAACAAGACACCATGGATTAGGTGGCTTAAACAACAGAAATTTATTACTCACAGTCTGGAGGCTGGAAGTCCAAGATCACAGTGCCAACATGTGGCTCTTGATAGGGCCCTCTTCCTACCATGCAGATGGCTGCCCTTGTGCTATATCCTCACATGGCACAGAGGGAAAGAGAAGCTCTCTGGTCACTTCTTTTCAGGGCACTAATCCCATCGTGAGGGTTCCAGCCTCATGACCTCATCTATCTCCCAAAGGCCCCAAACACCGTCACACTGGGAGTTAGGGCTTTAACTTTAACGTGAATTTTGGGGGAACACAAATATTACATCTATAACAGCCAAGAAATTAAGCTCTCACATCAACTGAGACATGCTACCCTTGGCAACCCTTTCTGAACCTGCCCTTTTCTAAGGTGGTTTAGGGGATGTTCACATCCCTGCCATGCTTCCATCAGATGGCAAGGCAAAGCCTCCCCTAAGGAGATTTCAGGATGTGACCATTCTTATTGTTTCTCAGCTGCTATGACCTAGAAGATGTGCCTAAAAGGGTCCTGTGTTTGGCCTGGGGGTGGCCTGCAGTCTTCCCATCTGGGATGATTGGTGAGTGACAGCTGACTGCTTGAGGTCCATTGCCGGGAAGATCCTTGGAGGTGAAAGACTGAAGGCCTCTGAATCATGAAATGGAAGAGGTAGGTTAACATAGTAGAGGATCTTGATCCTCAGTCCTCATGAAAATCATAGCAGCTGCTTGTCATATCAGCCTGAGCCTGGCCAGTGGTTCCCTCCTTGCCCTCTACCTCCTTTAATGAGAAGAGGAAAGACAATGAGAATTTCAAAGCAGGAGGAAGATTTGGATCACTTCCAGAGAATAATTCAAGGCAGACTCTTTTCCCCACCCAATTGCCTTTCCACAAGAATGAAGAACTTGAGCTTGTAGATGATGCTTGCAAAATTCCAGTCCCCTGGGAATTCATTTCTCAGGCTCCAGAGTTGGAGAAGCAAGATGGTGCTCCTTTCCTCCCTTGAAGGACTTCTGAATGAGATGCCTTGGGAAACTGTGTTCTCTTTTGCCTCCCACTGTCACTGGTGCCAGAGTGATGTCATCCTTGGGAGAAAGTACCTGCTCCTGGGCCGAGCTCAGAGCTGGTCGGTTCCATTCCAGAATCTGGAAGGCCCAAAGAACATCCCCACCCCCAATCTGGGACATCTGCCCCAGAGGAGTCTGAGCAAAAGCTCATTCTGAAAAATACTTTTGGACAGCAGGGAATCTGGCCAAGAGACCTTTTAGCTAAGTCCCTTTTTTTGTTAACCTTTCACAATATTCTTTAAATTTAATTTTAGAAGTGAGTTAACTCAACTACAATGACACAAATGGACACTATATCATTAAACCAAAATAAAATATGTTCCAGCTGATCAGCCTTCCACTTTCCAACCTGAGCTACTTCCCCCCACAATTTTATTACAAAAATTTTCAAACATAAAGTCATAAGAATATTATAGGGAACACCCATACTCCCACCACCTAGATTCTACAATGAACATTTTCCATACTTACTTTATCATATGTCTATCCAACTACTCATCCCTCTAGCCAACTATCAATCCATATTTTGATGCATTTCCAAGTAAGTTGCAAAATCAGTATACTTCTCCCCTGAATACGTCAGTTTGCATACCATTAATTGTTTTATTTTTTTACAGTTCTTTTCATTCTGAGGAAAAATTTATTGGCTATGTAATACACAAATCTGAATTGTTTGCATATACCTGTGCATATGTGGTGACCAATGCATATACCCATAACACAAACCCTTATCAAGACACAAAACGCTACCATCACTCAGAATGTTCCCTCATGCTCCTTCCCGGTCATTCCCCTCTCCCACCTATCCAGAGGCAACCACTGTCTGATTTTTTTCTACCACTAGTGCATTTTCCTGTTCTCATCGTTTATCTGAATGGAACTGCTGTGGTCTATTTGTGTCCCCCCAAAATTCATATGTTGAAACCTAACCCCCAATGGGTCTTAGGGATATTAGTAATGGTATTAAGAGGTGGGCCCTTTGAGATGTAACTAGATCACGAGGGCAGAGGCCTCGTGAATATTTGTGCCTTTATAAAAGCAGCCCCAGAGACCTCTCTCATCCCTTCCTCCATGTGAGGACACAGTGAAATGACAGCTGTCTCGGAAACGGGCCCTCACCGGATACCCAATCTGAGAGTGCCTTGATCTTAGACTCCCTACCTGCAAAATCATGAGAAATAAATGTTTGTTGTTTATAAGCCACACAGTTTATGGTATTTTTGTTATAGCAGCCTGTATGGACTAAGACAGAAGCCATTCAGAATAAGCTCTTTTATGTAAGGCTTCTTTCACTTAGCATAATGTTTTGAGACTCATCCAAACTATTGTATATATCAGTACTTCATTTTTCTTTATTCCACTGTATGAGTAGACCAGAGTTTGTATATTCACTCTCCTATTGATGGACACTTAGGCTTACAGTTTTGGACTACTATGAATAAAGCTATTTGAACAATGTTGCACCAATCTTTGGTGGACATATGCTTTCATTTCCCTTGGGTAAATACTCAGGAATGAAGTTGTTGATCAGGGGGTAGATGTATGAGTGTTTATTTTATACTCCCACCAACAACGTAGGAGAGTGCGGTTGCTCTACATCCTCACGAACATTTGCAATCAGTCTTTCTAATTTTAGCTATCCTGGTGGCTGTGAAGTGATTTAAACTGTTATTTTGGCAAATTTTCCAAATTAACAAAAGACACATATGCATAGGGATCAGGTTGAAGGAAATACTGATTGAAGGAAATCTAGAGATTGGAATATATGATATTAGAAAAGTGCACTTACCCAAACCCAGCTTGAGAGAGTAAGAAATGGCTAAAGGGATGTGCAAGAAGCAGCCAAACACATTGCTCGCTTCATAATTCTCTCAATTATATTACAACATTAGAGAAGTAAACGTAATGCTTAGGAGACTGCAGACTTCATTGACAGGGAGATGGGAACTCTGTGTTTTCCTTCAGAGCTGGTCTGGTGTGGACCACGTGTACCCCGATTTGCTTCCTCATGGTCAAAGCCCTTTGAGCACCATCTCTACAAAGCTGGCCCAGCCTGGAAAATGGAATCGGGACTCACCCAGACAATTGGGAAGGACCCCCTGCTCCTCCTTTCCTCTCTCCAGTACCAACCCTGGACCTGAGCGAGGGAATTAACTTTTGGGGGCATCAACGTTGGGCCAGCACCTATCCTAGGCACTGTGCCTTCGCTGTCCTTTAATCCTCACGGCACCACCCTACCAAGTTAGGCATTGAGAGCCTCCTCTTACAGAGGTGAAACCAAGACTCAGAGAGTCATAGTAACCTGTCTGGGGTCACATAGAGTTACAAGAACCAGGATCTGAGTCTATCTGAGTCTAGTGTCCTCTTTCCACTAGACTTTGCTCAGCACCCAGCAAGCAAACTGGAGGAGACTTGATTAACAGCTCAGGTGGTGCCAAGCCCAGGAGCAGACGAGGCTGCATGTCTCTCAGCCAGATTGGTCCCTCCTTTTTCTCTCTTTTCTGCTTTCTAGTGTGTTTGTGTGGAAGGTAGGGCTGTGCCGTCTTTCAGAAGATGCAGATGTTGAGGAGACTGAGCCCTCCTCTCTGCAGCTGCGACTGTGTCTCCTCTCCTCTCCTGGCTTGGGTTTTTCTCTTGCAGGAAGGAATCGGTAGCTTGTCACTCCTGTCCTGCCCTCCCCCACCCCCTCAGTTTCTCAGGGGCTGGTATGGTCGGGAGCCTCACTCAGCCTTCACCAGAGGGAGGTGATCATGTTCATCATGTGTTTCTCTAGACCGAGTTACCTGTTCCTGAAACACACTAGCTTGCTCTTCGAATCCTGCGGTCCGGAAGTAATTGACGACATCCATCACGGCCCAGTCTGCAGGATCGGGTGGCCTCCCATTCTCCATGGAACTGCAAAATAACAATCAAGATGGCTGTCAGGGCAGAACATGCAAGTGTGTGCAGCTAGGCTCTCCACTCAGCCTCTCAGGGGCAGGCCTGGCCCAGCTCACTGCAACCAGAGGCCCAGATCCCAGTGTATCTGCCTCAGAACCAGAATCACTCATGCGTCTCTTGGGCTCAGAAGATCACTGCTCTCACTGGCTCAGTCACTCCTTTCTCTATGAACCTTTAATATAAAGTATTTCCTCATGTATTGTTTTTTAATCCAGAGATATTAAGAGGGGTCCAGGGCTTCCCTGGTGGCGCAGTGGTTGAGAGTCCACCTGCCAATGCAGGGGACGCGGGTTCGTGCCCCGGTCTGGGAGGATCCCGCACGCTGCGGAGCGGCTGGGCCCGTGAGCCATGGCCGCTGAGCCTGCGCATCCGGAGCCTGTGCTCTGCAACAGGAGAGGCCACAACAGTGAGAGGCTCACGTACCGCAAAAAAAAAAAAAAAAAAAAAAAAAGAGTGGTCCAGTGATTTCTGGCGGCCCACAATATGGTATTCATACCCCTGAGCTAAGAATACCAGACCTCTTACAATGTGGCCCCAACATGTTATCACTTTTCCCAACCCCAACCCCGCACATCCAGGGCTAAAGCCATTCCCCAACACACCATGCCCTTCACATGCTGTTCCAGCCACTGAATGCCCCCTCATTTTCCAACAAAATCCTACCCTTCCTACCAGTTCAAATGCCACCATCTCTGTAAGGCATTTTCTGGCTGCACCTGGGTGTTTGTTATAACATCCTCTGAGTTCAAGACCTCCATTCTAACTCCAACTGCAGCACTTTTCCCACTGGATTATACTCTGCTTATTAGACAGTCTCTAGGAGACTGTCTAATCTTTCTACGGAGATGTGGGCTGAAGAGGTACATTTGAACCTGGACCATTTCTCACTTTATTATCCCTTGTGTCAAGTACATAGTTAGGAATTCAATCAATGTTCAGACGACTAGATGTTGATCAAGCATTAGTTTGAGAGGGTCTCTGGGTAACCTCCTCAATGGATTTAGAGAGGAGGGGAGGAAAGGTGGAAGAGAGAAAGAGTGGCAAGGACCTGCAGTTACTGTGACTCTTATTTCTGTGTTTCAAGAGTATTTGTCTAGATTTCTCTATGCCTCATCCGCAGTGATTCTTCCAGAGTGTGCATCCCATCACATTGTTCCCCTGCTTCCAATTCTTCAAAGGCTTCTTCCCATTGCCCTTTGGATAAATTCCAAATAGTTTCACTTGGCTCAGGAGGTCCTTCAGGACAAAACCCCCTCCTAGCCCTCCAGCTGGGAATATATTGGTGAGTAAAACAGAAGGGTCATTACTCTTGTGAATACACAGCACTTTTGGGGTAGACACTGATCGGTAATCATACGACTAAATGTACAGCCACACAATGTAGCTGAAGGATAGGCACTCTGTTCTATGGCAGTTTGAGGGGCTAGGAGAGGCTTTCTTGCGGAAGTTTCTTTTGAGGTAAGGTCTAGAGAGCAGCCAGAAGGTTAACCGTATAAAGAAGTCAGCTGAAGATTATTCCAGGCTCTGTAGCAGGACTGTACAGCCCAGGGAGCCATGCTGGTGTTGGAGGCCACATCAAGGATTCTGGGTTTTTGTCTATGAGCAATGGGACTTGTGAAATGGTCTGATGTAATAGGTGTGACCTGATCTGACTCAAATTTCTGAAAAGAGGGTATTGGAGAGGAGCCAGAGGAGAAGAAGGGACCAAGCAAGAGATCATGGTGACTGAGACTATGGTGGAAAAGGAGAGAAGCACGTGGATTTCAAAAATATTTAACCAATAGAATCAGCATGACCTAGTGGTGGACTAGACATGAGAACAAAGGAGATCGAAGTGTCCTGGAACTGGATGGATGGTGGTAACTGCACTTAGACTGCATCCCCAGGTTTGGTTGGACACACTGAATGTGGGGTACCATCTATATCGAAGTTGAGATTTAATGTGGAACATGGGTCTGGAGCTCAAAGCAGATGGGTGGGCTAGAGGTACATAGCGGGGAGCCAGAAGCGTTTAGATGGCGTGTGAAACCTTGGGAGGGGACGAGAGGAGAACTGGGCCTAGAATCAAGCTTGGGAAGGTTCAACATTTAGTGCAAGTTGAAAAGATTCATGTTACTTTTAATGGAAATGAAATTGCCCAGACTTTGGGGATTCCTGAAAGTCTTCAAATATCCAAAAGTCAAGGGTTGACCTGTGCCTCTGCCTTGTTCCCAGGATAATGTTTTGCTCATAGTAGGAACTTAAAATATTTGATTAAAAAAACAAACTTCTCTCCTAGTTAAAGAAAAGGGAGTCACTAATCAATGGCACATGTGATCAACTACTTATCAACATAGCACTTAATTTAAAAACATTTAGAGCCAATGCTTGCTAGTTTTAAGTATTTTCCCTTTTGGGCATAGAGATTGTGAATCTATAAATACTGCCCATGTACATACACACTCACGTACATGCTCACTCACACACGGCATGTGCCCCCCCTGCCACCCTCCTACCATTTAACAGTCAATATACATGGGGAAAAACTATTTTTTACTCTAACATTGTTAAACATTAACATGTACTTTCAAATCAAGGCTAAATGTGTTTTTAAAAAATTATACACATGCTGGGATTTTCCATCCTCTCTTTAACATAAGCAATCATAAACTGACACAGGGGACTCTCTTTTAGGTACCATTTTCCTTCCCTCTCTTGCTTAAGTTGGGCTTGAAAAATGTTTGGAAAGGATTCATTGTTTTAACAAATCTTTCAAGTTTTCTAGTCAGCTCGCTTCTAGCAGTGAGCACAGCGCCCCATCAGATGCACTTTTAAGTGCCCCAGAAAACATCTGAACTCACTCTCCCTGTGGCTGACTTCAATTAGCTGCCTTTCTTCATAAAGAATTGTTATCTAATTATGATAAAAAAAAAAAAAACTATGCTACATTGTAATTTTAGGATGGGAGGCTTTCCTGATTCTTATTCTGCTGGGATATGACATCATCACTTCCTCAGTTCTGAAATATTCTTGAGTACTAGCATTGCAGCAGAGAACAAAGGCTTTGCAAAACCACTGGCAGCGTACCATGAAGAGCACCAGTAATGAGGAATGTCTCATACTTAGGGTGAGGGGATACACAGAAGAAGCCAGTGTTAGACCACTCACATCCTGAGAGGAGAAACTATCCGTCTCCATCTCTGCCTCCCTACAGCTCACAGCACAGGTTGGACTGGTGTGTACAGTTGATACATGGCAAAGATCTGTTACATTAACGTAATAACAACCAGAGAGCATTTAGAGTCTACAATGTGCTTTTCACGCATAATCTATTATCAGCCTCCCAGCTCCTTGTGAACTGGCTACTATAACCTGTTTTTAGGAAACTAAGGCTCAGAAAGGTTAAGAACTCATCCCAAATCACATAGTGTATAAAGCCAGGATTGGGTTCCACATATGCTTGCCTCCAAATCTATGCTTTTTTTCACTCCATACTCATTGATACAACAGATATTTACTAAAAGCCTACTGTCTTCTCAGTACTGTGCTAGAGGCAGCGTTACCAGGATAGGAATGCATATCCTTCAAGGAGCTGGCACTCTGGTGAGGGGAAGCAGCATACTCTAAGTATTAGAATTGGGGGGGGGTGAACTGGTGCTATTGGGGATGCACGCACTGGAGGGCCCAGATAATTCTGCCTGACCAGGACACTTGAAGATTTTTAATGCAATTCTGAAAGGCATCAATTGCTTCAAACACACACTAAGTTCCTCCCTGAGAGGGGATGGCTTGCAGAAGCAGAAACATGCAGGCACACATTGTCACTTCTAGGTTATGTTAAAGAATGATGGATGATTTTGCTGGACCCGTCCAGTGGTTTCAGCAACAGTTTAAACAAGAAACCTGGAGATTATCCAAGGCCACATGATGGTGGGTGTTGGGGAGGCCAGAGTGCCAAAGCCAGATAAAACTATGAGGACATTTCAGAGGATGGATTTAAGCGTCACCTTTCCCCACTGGTGAAGTCAGTATGTCTCCTCAAGGACTGTTATTTGTGGCCAAACTGAGATGCTTTGTTCCCTTTTAAAGGGACCATTCTCTCCAAATCTTTTCTTATAACTCATACGTGTCAAATTCCAGGAGGAATTTAAATGGTGCTGTTTAAAACACCTCCCAGATGGTGGTTCCCACTGTGGCTGCTAATTTTGCACTGATGAAATGAGATGGCACATATAAACGTTCCATTATCATTTGATACTTATTATTCATTATTGTCATAGCAAAATATTTCCTAGAATATAAGGTATAAAGATGATAAATTCATGAATATTTTTCCAAGCATGGAGGCTTTAAAAATATATATGTATGTTACCTTATTACAAAAAACTAGCAAGAAATGAAGGGCAGAATTTGTCTCCAATCCCATCACTTAATCAAATCAATGTTTCCATTTAACATAGTCACCTTTCAGTCCCTGTGCATATGGTTGGGTACATCATGTATGGATAAAAATTACATAATGTGTGAATAATTCACACTAGGAACTGATTATCCCTTAATTAAACAATCACCTCACTTTTAAAGAGAGCTAAAGAGACACAATCATGAGGACAGAAATGCAATAAATAACAAATTTGGCAGATACATGCAGATCGAGACCTTATGATAAACGTTTTCACGTTGGCACATGATAATTTTAAGGGCTGGTGGCAAAAGTCTCCATTTCCCCTTTATATATTAGTGGAGGCAGATGAAAAATAGTTGAAACCCTTTCTCAGAATTCAGCGTGTGTATATTTTATGGCATTTATGATATTATAGATTCTGAGGGTTGATCAGACCAAAAGGAAACTCTGGATAAATACAGCCCATATGTGATTTCAAAACCCCATTATACTTATTAATTGCATTTCTGCTTTAAAGTTCAGAGCAAAAGTTACCTCCTATTAGTTAATTATGGTGATATATTTATTTATC